GTTTTTCTTTTTATATATATATAATCATTCCCCTCTCCCTAAACCAGCATTCTTTTCTTCCTGTCACTGTACATTGTATTCAGGATTGGCCAATTAAAAACAAACCCTTTAATGACATTATTAATAATATTTTAATGGTAGTAAACATTTGGTTTTTTTTTTTCACTTCGAAAAAGAAAGTTATTTTAACCCTTGTGCACTGTTTTAATTTACTACCCTTTTGTTATGTTATGGATGAAAACATCCACTGAATAAAACTGCTGTAAAATGTATCAGATCAATATTTAATTATTATTATTATTATTATTATTATTATTATTTTTGCATAAATCTGTTAATCAACCTCATAAATTGTTTAGATTACAGGATTTTAACTCTTTAATTGACAAGTTCACAAGTGATGTCACAGATTTGGTAAAAAACACACAAAATGACGTATTTTCAATATGAAAAGTAATTGTGGACTGGATTTTTCCATTTAATCACAGTCTTGGACATGTAAACGATTAGTTAAAACATTGGCTTCGATGCTTTAGATTTTCATTTTTTCTTCCTAATTTACTGTTGGTGGCTGTTTTTGCCCCATTGACTTTGTTTACTTCATGTAGTTCTGAGAGCTGAGATGCTTTTTTGATTTTCTCAGACACATCAAGGTAAGTGCGTAATGGTCACTCTCACACACGCACACATTCACAGATACACTTACACACACTTTAATTTGCTGTTTTACTCCATATATTTTTGCACAGGCCTTGGCCCCTAAAGGATTAATGGTGCCATCTGATCATCAACAGTAAAATGAAAAATGTTACCTCTTCCCAACAGGGAAAACCACCAACAATCAAAAATGTATGATTATATGGTGTCATGGTTTTGTAATAAAACAAATGTGGTTATAATGGAAGTTAATAGGGCAAAAACAGCCACCAACAGTAAATCAGGGAGAAAATAGAATCAAAAACAATGCATCAAAGGCAATGTTGTTTTTCAGGTCCAATACTTTCCTAAAGAGTAAAAAAAAAAAAAAAATCCAGCCCACGATTACTTTTTATTGAAAATATGTAATTTTGTGGGGGGGGGGGGGGGGTTTCATCAAATCAGTGACATTATTTATTTATTATTTAAAATCCTGTCATTTTTACTAATTTAGATCAGAACTGAGGTTCAATAAAAGATTTATGCCAAAAAATGCACTGGTGGGGGCACTAAGCCAACGCATGCCTCCCACCAGTGCCGATATACAGCCATATTGCAAAAGATAACAAAAGGATTGTAAATTTTCCTGGAGTGTATTGTTGAGTTATTTTAAAAATTCTAAGCATTTTCTCAAAATATGTGTCAAAATAACATTTGTCACCAAAAATAATTCTGCTTGCTGAAACACAGAAAACATTATGGCCAAATTAAACTCAAAAGCACACCAGAGTGAATGAAAACATCCCTAACAATACATGGAATTATGAAGTTAAGGAATGTTTATTTTAAGGCTGTTGTTCTTACATGCCGTCAATGCACAATCCGTTTTAGCACCTTTTATGTTTAAGTTTGAATGATCAGTCTATTGTATGACAGCTTAAGGGTTTATTTTTACAGATAGTAAGACATTTATAAAAGAAAGTAATTTCTACCCTTCACATAGAGCCGGATCAGCTCATATAATGTTTTGTAGTTACAGATAATATATTATTTAGATTCCATCTGATTTAATTATTTTCATATGTTTAGCTTTAAATGATTAAGCTAAGATTACAGTAAGGTAAAATCAGGCCACTGTTGTATTAGTTAAATCTTATGTACAATGTAAGAAATTATACACAATTATAAACAATTGTTATATCTAATGTTATGAGTAGATATCAAAATATAGTTATTTTTATATTGATTCTATATTGAATAACCATGATAATGTCTACTATTAAATAATCTAGTGATTTAAATACTTTGGTCACACTTTACAATAAGGTTTGATTAGTTAATGGATTGACTAACATCAACTAATAATGAACCATACTTGTACAACATTTGTTAATCATATTTCGAGATTAACTAATGCATTATTAACATCCAAAGTCATGCTTGTTAACATTAGTTAATGCGCCGTAATGTTAACTAAAATGACCAAATATTGTAATAAATGTATTGTTCATTGTTTGTTCATGTTAGTAAATGCATTAACTAATTCAACCTTATTATAAAGTGTTATAATAATATTAACAAATACTTTTTTTTATTAAATAAAAGTACTACATCAATTTAAAAAAGTAATAGTGTTAAACACTAGCACGGAAGGTATAGCAACACCATGATGGTTCTAACATAGCATTGTGTATAACAGTGGGTCTTTACTTTAGTACTTCTGAGGTCCCTGACTTATATTACATACAGATTTAACATCTGACTGACACGGGCTGTCCCAAGAGTCCCCCAAGGCTCTGCGCTAAGACCTCTGTAGTTTTCCTTGTACAGGATTCTCTTGGGAGACATCAGGAAATGCAAAATTAGCCAATATTGTAATGCTGATGGTGCAGTTTAATATTTGCTCTATACTACATTTTCAGTTGTACATTATTAAGGGCAATGTAGACTAGGTACAATGGAGAAACGTTTCTTTTAGCGAAATTCTGACAAACATTTTATTCATTAAATGTCACCTATTTTGAGAGGGTGCTCGCTGCAGAGCCATTCGAGGAGAGGTGAGCTCCAGAGAGGAGGAGCATGAGCTGTCGCTCCTCCTCCTGTAAGCTGTTTTAATGCGTACACCAACCCCACCCCTAACCCTACCCCCAGTGACATCACTCGTAGAAGAAGTGCAAAAAAGGTGGAGCTCAAGCTCAAGCTCCCCCTCTCTGGAGCTCACCTCTCCTCAAATGGCTCTGCAGCGAGCACCACTTGCCTATTTTACGTCTTTTGTAAATCCAGAATAAGTCTGTAAAGTTTCAGTTTAAAACACCCATCAGATTATTTATTATAGCTTTCAGAATATTGGAAGTTTCTGCTCTGAAAACAAAGTAGCCTGTTTTTGTGGCCTGTGCCTTTAATGCTAGTTCTCCCCACCCACCGTTCCCACATGCCTGTCAGGGTGTGCCTCAATCTCCACCTTGTTTGCTTCAGATAAACAGCACAGTGACACCCATGAAGGAACCAGATCTCACATAACGTTTGTAAGAAATTCTACAGTAAGAACTTTCCCAATGATTATTTGATGTATTTGCTGTGGAGTTAATTCAAGGCTTTCTGCAATGATGAGTCACACAAATGTTGTTACAAAGTTCATACACACACACAAACACAGCATGTGCATTTAACTTTGCACAGCAAATATGACAGGATACATATTAATATCCACTGCTGTATGGTTATCTGTTATGTTAATGTACAAAATAAACCTGATTTAACGTCCATAAACCGGGATTGAAGCGTCTTCTTGTATAATGTTACTGACACTATGCGACTGTGGTGATAAAGATGGTAAAATCGCAGTAATTCATTACAAAAATGCACTGTTTTAAACGTTTTAAACTTGTAAAACTCATTCTTGATCACATTTAATGATGATTGATGATCACAGAGAGCTGAACAGATCTTTTAATGGCAGTTGCTTTGCGCACATCCTGTCTTGTTGATATGATTATCCACGTTACTACGGAGACATGTTAATACGTGGCTGTCAATCAATTTGGTGAGCAGGTCGGCCTCAAAATGGGAGGGATTTGGATCCTTTTTTAACGTCAGGAGATTTAAAAAAAAAAAGAGACTTATTGTGTTTTTATCACTCCAATATGACTGTGGACACACTATACCTACACACAGTTCTGTCCAAACAGCTTACAAAAGATGATTTTCATCATAGGAGCTCTGTAAACTAAAAACATGGCTCAAATATAAGCTGCTTTTATATGGATGGCTATTCTGTCAACTATTATAGTGAACACTAATCTATTAATTTGCTTTTTTGAAGTGGATGCAATTGAGTTGCTCATTCGAAATTAAAAATCTGTTATATATGTTAAAAATCGCCATGTAAGACATCTCCCTAAAAAGTGTACTTAGTGTTGGCAGGAAACCACTGGTACCAAGATTCCTACAGAAATAAATGCATGCACATATGCACAAAACCGCTTGCTTAAACGCTCTTTCCACCGGCAACCGCTGTCAAAGACAAACAGGCTGGCACATATGGCCCAGCTCATAGAAGAAGCTATACAGATATTTATAAACTACAGTAGGGCTTCTTGATTTGAGGCCACATGTTTCTACTCCACACTCATCCCGTCTATTCAGGCACACTCATGAGCTTTTGGCTCCAGAGCCTACCCCCACCCACCCCTTTTTTTTTTGCGGGCTTATATGAATGTATGGACACCATAATGGAGGGAGTGAGCTGAAGAGAGATGTGAGGAGAGCTTTCTGGGGACAGATCCAACTGTTTTCTACACACACTCACACGCCGATCCTTGCCAGGTTCACGTGTGTGTGAGTGAAATTGGAGACGGAGCCGGACCCCAACAGCAGAGAAAGTACAGCTGTGAAAGAGATTCACGTGCGAGTGAGAGAGAAGGAGAGGGTCGAGAGAGGTGCAGCTGTTGGGGATTTGCTGTGAGCTGCTTAAGTCATGGCTTGGCTCGTGTCCTCTGTTTTTGACCTAATAGCTTAGAGTCAGGTTGGACAAACTCACTGAACTCTCCAGAGCGCATCTATCTCAGCCAAGAGAGGGTGGGTAGGTGGGTGTGTGTGTGTGTGGTGGGAGGGTTACGTGCTCATTGTTACGAAGTGATCGCAAACAGCTTTCAATGCAATGAAAAGGAGACTGTTTTCAGCCACTTATCATGCTCAAAGGGGCAACAATCAAGAGGATGGGGATATTTGTGTTGGCACGTGGGCTTAAAGTACTATAAACAAACCGAGTAGTCACTATTACTCAAGGGCCGAACTGTGTAATATTCTTAGGATAAGACACTAGTGTTCTGTGTGCTTTACCTCGTCTTCTTCCTGTCCCGCTGTTCCCTACGTTGCAGGCAGAGAAGAAGGCGAAACTGGTGTCTGTGATGAACTCAATGGAGGACCATGGCGAGGTAGAGTCGGAGCCTAAAAAAGACGTAATCACCGTCCCGCTGCTCTTTCCCCCGCCGATGCCACCAACGCCGCCAACTCCGCCAATGCAGCAGCAACCACCGCAGCCTCAAGCTCAACATCAGACCAACCTCAAACCCCAGCCTTCTCCTCAGCAGCAACCTCCACCATTCCAGCAGCAGCAACAGCAGCAGCCCACAGATCCAGCCTCTCCAACTGTTGCCACCACACCAGAGCCTGTGTCTATAGGGGATGGAGACAAGACCTCACCCAAGTCCACTGAGTCAGAATACGAGGTAGGGCATGCTTGCTCACTATCATTGGTCATTTTAAAGTACGCATTAAAAAGTATTGGGGTTTGAGTGGTTCGTTCCAGCCTGATCTCATAAGGAAACAACTGTTTTATGTGTTTTCCTAACTTTTGCTATGTCACTGTTCATTGAAAAAAGTGAAAGTATTGATTTAGAAGTAAGTGAGCTCTCATATTTTCTCAAACATCAGATTTCAAACTACAAAAATATGTGTATTGTTACGCGTTTAAGTTCTTAAGATATTAAATGGATGAAACGTAGCAATCAGTGAGTCTAGTGATGCTGGATGAACAAGGAGAAGACACAACTGCTGGTTAAGTGAAACAAAAAGTAAGTATTTAATAAAAAGAGAATGTCAAACAATGAACATAGGAAATGTAATGTAGATGTAATTTTAAATAATCGAATTAAACAAAGAAAACAGGAGTGTTGCCAAAACAAAGAAATAAATATAACAAACGATCAACTAAACCCCAACCCACTACACTAACTAACCAAAGAAAAATGCAGAAACAAAACCGTAATCTTCAACATGTAGCTTAACTAAACTTCACAACTACTTCAAAACATAACTACACATGTGGCAACACCTTCATAAACTAACTAACAAATAGAGATACTAAGCTGCTCAAATTACTAGAGTTCTCGTGAAGTACACACTGTTAGCCATTAGCAAAACAAGATTTTATATAATCCAATTCTCATGAAGATTGTTCAGCTTCGCAATAGATACTAAATTGAGCTGCACAAGCTTTATCTAATAAATTAATCACTTAATCGAGAGAAAAACAAAACACAGCAACATCAAACAAACTAAGTAAAACATAAGTGAACAGACCGGCCAACAGAAGTGAGGAGACTGACGGTGAGCCAAGCACTCCTCAAGAACAGCGCAAGCGCACGGCATTCATACTGTGCAAACCAGCTCCTGATTGGCGCGCCGAATGAGTCACGATGGTGATTGACAGCCCCTTCGACCAATGATTGCACACCTAAAACAGGACAGGATACACAGCGGAAGAGAACGCAAAACAGAAAACAAACAACAAAACACCACAAAACTTACAAGAAACGTAACAATATTCGTTCTTAAAAATAGTTTTACAAAAAAAAAAAAACATGCTTTGTTGTCTATTTGCCACTAGTACCTACAAACACTGCCTGTTTTTGACTAGATGTAAATGTTTGCTCAGCTTGCATATTCCCTGTTAATTGTATTTGCAGTTATTGGTTTGTCCACAAGACATCAGTACTGGACCAGGCCTTTCATTCACAGATGAAAAAGATCTAGTAAACTAAACATTAGAGACAGGAAAAAATATTAGATAATTGTGTTTATGAATGCTTGTGTGAGGGGATTAAAGATATCCACACTTATATCATGTTTTTTTTATCAAAACACACAAATACCTGTCACAGACAGATCTTTCTAGTGTACGTGAATCAAGTACTTGCATATAAAATGAAGTAAACTTTAAAAGGGTGTGTGTTTTACTGTTACCGACTCGGTCCCAGTCATTCCCCTCGCTGGCCAGCATCATCACCGGACTTCTAATATATTACGTCATCCTCACTGACTGATTGTCACACACACACCTTCAGCACATCTCATAATCACCTGGCACACACATATAAGCAGCACTCACACACGCTTCAGTGCAAAGTCTTGTTCTGCCCCGGCTAACACTACTGAGCATTTCTCATCCTTGCCTGCTTTCCCGTTGCTTACCTTGGACTGTATCTCGACCTTGTCTTGCCTGCCGTCTGCCCTGAACCCAAGCCTGAATACCGACTTTGATCCTCGCCGCCTGCCTCTGACCCATGCCTGATTACTCGCCTTGTGTTTGCCTGCCGCCAGCCCTTCGACTTAATACTACTGTGTTTGATGTGAGTTCGCACACGGATAACATCTGTGTGCTTATTGTTATTAAACTCTATTTAATAAATATACTGCAAATGGATCCCTCTGTGTCAGACCCTTCGTTATATCTGTGTACACGCAAACATACATGTAAATATAAAACCACGCTTTGGGCTTTATTTGGTTAGTCGGAAAGTTTCCTTAGAGCTTAACCTGTGTTTAGACTTATTATCAAAGCAAAATATCTGACCTCTGACATCTGCTTACTGATAAGCTAATCATTCTCAGAGAAATCCCTGGATTATTCCAAGATATCGTAGAACTGATCTGGCTTAACAGATTTGAAAGTCTGGTTTAAACAACGGCACCCTTCTTTTGTTGAATGGCTCGTCTCATGTGTAAATTGGGAGTAATTTGAAACTTTGTACTATAGTATTGTTGTGATCCGAACTAAAATAGTACAGGTCAAGGCTTTAAAACGCATTCAGATAATAAATGTTCTTGATGACTGATAAAGTAAAATTATGTGTTGTCTTGAGACTTACTGAGGCACATGCTGAAGACAAAGCCCTTTTCTGGAAAGGGGTGGAAAGGAGCAGCTCATTTGCATTTAAAGAAACATCTCCAAAAACGGCATGGTAAAACAAATGATCTGTGTTGTATTTGAACTGAAACTTCACAGAAACCTGACAGTTGTATTACATCTTGAGAAAGGCACCTTATACTGTAGGTAGTTTAAGAGTACTTATGACTTTTCTCCTTTTATTGTGTAAATGTAACGTGATTCATCTTGTTTTGTCTCGTCTGTTGCAGGATGGCCGAGGTTTTGGCATTAACGAGCTAGTGTGGGGAAAGTTACGAGGATACTCCTGGTGGCCGGGCCGGGTCGTATCCTGGAGGATGACTCGACGCAGCCCAGCAGCCGAAGGCACCAGATGGGTTACATGGTTTGGCGATGGCAAGTTTTCTGTGGTGAGTTTCTATTCACTCTTGCTGCACAAAGTGTCAAACAAATTAATTCTTTAAGGCATAGTTCACCCAAAAATGATCATTCTGTCATCATTTACTGACCCTTCACCTGTTCAAAATCTAATTGAGTTTCTAGTAACACTTTACAATATGGGTTGTATTTAATAACAAACAGTGAACAATACATTTATTATAGTATTTTTTCATGCTAATTAGAGAAAATGCATTTGTTCATTGCTAGTGTTAACTTACAGATTTTAATAAGGCATTAGTAGATGTTGAACTATGATTAATAAGTGCTGAACTAGTATTGTTCATATTAATTCATGTTAGAATACTGGCACTAATTGAACTCCATAGTATTACTTTTGCTACTGTCGAAGTTAATGAGTGCCATTAACCTGCATTCTTTACAATATACAGTATTGATTGTTCAATAGAAAAAAGAAACTCATAATGTAATGAATAGATAATGAGTAATCAATGAGGTCATTTTCATTTTTGGTTAATCTGTGTCTTTAAAAAATCACTTTCGTATTTAAGGCCCTGCTCACACTGTGAGATTTCAGCCATGAGGTTGTCATCTCAGACAAATTTAGGAAATCCTAAAAGATTCCTGAAATCCTAGGCTAAAATCTGTGATCTTTGATCGATGGTTTGACATGTTCACAGACAGCCATTTAATATGTTGCAATCAGATTTTTCCTTTGATGAAGTTCTGGCAGTATCAGAAGATTTCAGACTCTTTAATGCAACAGCTGCGTTGAGCCTCAATCTAAGAACCAATAGGAGTGCCGAATCTGCTGACACAAACCATGTGACAATTAACACGACTACAGGAAAATGTCAAACCAGTTTTTTATCTTCTTGGTTTTATTATTGAGACATGCCGTGTGCAAAATTGCTGCCACAGATTGTTTGCTGTGAGGAATCATTTCAGAATGCAGGATAGTAAACGTGTCACGGATGGATGAAGTCAAACTGTAAAGGAGTTTTCTTCTGTGTTTGGCGCATCTTTATTGTTCATTTTGACATTATGACAGCTGATATTTTACAGTGTTTCATAGCAGTCATACTTGTGCAGTCCAACATGTTACAATCATTCAGGATTATAAAAAAAATAGCACAGTGTGATTCTGCCTTAAGGAAACAATAAAAAGGGATAGTTCACTCAAAAATGAAAGTTCTTTATGTGTTGGAGTTTCTTTCTTCTGCTGAAACAAAGGAAGATATACTGATGAATGTTGGAAAAAAGGCCACTGACTTCCATAGAATTTTTTGTTCATACTATGGATATCAATGACTGCTTTTCTCAAACATTCTTCAGTATATCTTGTTTTGTGTTCTAAAAGTTTAGACCCACTTGAGTGTGAGTAAATCATGAGGACAATTTAATTTTTTAGTGAACTATCCCTGTAAGCCTTAATAACAGAATATATTGTATTTCATATTTTATATTCTGCCGAAACTATTTTATTATACAGGGTAAATCAAAAAGAATACCACAACTTTGAAAATCTGTATTTAATTAAAGAAACATGATTGAACCTTTTTCCAGAGATGGGTTGCAGCTGGAAGGGCATGCGCTGCGTAAAAACTTGCTGGATAAGTTGGCGGTTAATTCCGCTGTGGCTACCCCGGATAAAAAAGGGACTAAGCCGACAAGAAAATGAATAATTGAATGAATTAATAATGGAACCTTGGGTAATTAATCAATGTGTAGAGTACTTAACAATTTTGTTTTCCAGTGGAAAGCAAGTTGATAGATGTTCAATATGACCCCCCCTACCCTTCCTCAATTAGTTCCTCAATGTTAGCTGGTAGATTTGGTAGTAACACAATATATTTAATGTTCCCTCATAGAAAAAAATCAGAGGGGGTAAGGTCAAGGCTTCTAGGAGGCCAGTGATGAAGTGCTCTGTTACCCAAATCATTGCTTTGGGTACCTTTCATTCAAATAGGCACAGACAGATAAGTGCCAATGGGATAAGGCCCCATCCTGCTGAATTATGAATTGACGTGCTTCTTCTTCGAGTTGAGGGAACAGCCAATTCTGCAACATTTCCAGATAGGTTTGCCTATGATTCACTTCTGCCGTACTCTATAACACAAAAGCTTTTTGTTGAGCAGACTCCATCTTTGCATTACAACAGAACTGAAGGTATATGGGCCATCAGCACTTCTAGCGACCAAATGAGCAACCAAAAGAACGTTCAGAGCTTCCTTAAATCGACGACAGATAGAGCTTAGCTCTCCTTTTCTTCTTCGCAGAGTTCACGATTTTCAAAGTTGTGGTATTCTTTTGGAATCACCCTGTATTGTTATGTAAAGCACTGCCTTAAATGTTTGTCTAAAATACTTTTGTTGTTCAACTTCATCCTGTAGGTCTGTGTTGAGAAACTGTTGCCTTTGAGTTCCTTCCACAACGCCTTTCACCAGCCAACCTACAATAAGCAACCAATGTACAAGAAAGCCATCTTTGAGGTGCTACAGGTAGGAGTTTATTTTGTGGTACAAACAGAGTACTAAATCAAGCTCAGTTTATTGATATTTTGTGCATTAATAATCTAATGGAACCATTGGACTGTCTTGTCTTACAGGTAGCCAGCACTAGAGCAGGCAAAACCTTCCTCTCTTGCCCAGCGAGCGACGACACTGACTCTTCAAAGTTAGTAGATGTGGAAAATAAAAAGATGATTGAATGGGCCATGTCTGGATTTCAACCCACGGGACCTAAAGGCCTGGATCCACCTGAATGTAAGAATGCCGTGGTTTCCTACTGATATTCATATATCCGTTTGCTTTGCCTTGAAAAATATCAAACTGGTTTAATGGGATAGTTCGCTGAGAAATTAAAATTCTGTCATTTGGATTAGGGCTGCACGATATTGAAAAAATCGGAAAAACTGCAAAAAAATGTAACTGCTAAGAGGTATTTAGCGCTCTCTGGCAATGTATATAGAGGTATGTTTTCAGAATGAGCCTGGTTTGTATATAACTCTGATTGCAGAAGCTTAAGTGTTTACACAAACTTGATCTATTGAAATATGGATATGTGTTACATAAAGTAGCCCTATAACTGTGACGAAATTCAAGTTTATTTGTATTTATTTCAAACTTTTATTAAGATATGTGCGATCTGGGGAGATTTTCTGTTGGTTTTGTCAGTTTGGCATCTGAGTACAGTCGTAGATGCTTTCTAGATGTTTATCCTTTAAGCCTGTACACATGCCAGCACCCGAGGAATTAAGCTTGTAAGGAAATACTAGTCAAATCAAAACTATCCTGACTTCCAGACATGTGCGTGGACACATCACATTCCGATTTTTAGCCCATCATTAATTCTGTTTATTTACTTGAGTAAATGTGTAAATCTATATTTATTCAGTTTTTAAATTAATTACAGTAATATTATTGACTAATATAAAAATGTTCATCTGATTTATGCACAATGCAGTTTATACAGTAATATTTTCTGTCTTTTAGTAGATATATTATATAAGAGACTTGCTTTGTTTATCAAATTAATTGATTCTATTTGGATTTTCATTATAAACATTGAATAAAAGTTAAAAAGATTCTATTTTTTGATTCGATAATCGAAATTGAGCATAAATTTCGATCGATTTCGATTAAAAATTGAAATGGTGGCACCCCTATTGTAAACAACAAACAATTTTAGATAAGACATGCAAGATCAGCCTTTAATTTCAACAATCCTGAAATGTGCTTTGACAGAGAATTTACTTTTCATTTTTTTTCTTGTTCCTGCACTCGGATAAATGAATTATGCACATTAGTTTTGTCTGCTGTAAAACCAAACAGTGAAATTAATCAATGGAAAGGTCTTTTAATCAAATATTTCAGGTTAAATAAAGAAAGATGTCTTATTGATGTGAAATAGTAAATAGTAAACTTAAGCTGACTGAATACATTCTCAGAAATAAAGGTTCAGAAGGTGTGACTAGAACGGTATCTTTACAAAAGGTATACTTTTGTACTTTACAGCTGCACATTAGTACCTTTAGGGTATAATTTTGTACTTTTAAGGTTCACTTTTAAGGTACAATGAGGAACAGATCTGTAATTAATTTGGACAGTAGTAGATTCCGAGTTGGAGACACAGATTTAGAGTCCCACATGAGGTGGTTATTAATTAGCAGATAAGATAAATATTACCAATGCAAACATTATGTGGGCAGGTTACATTGTTACTCTGTGTCCTAACAACACGCTACAGGATGAGATTTGCAGTGATAAGCAATTTGGCTGTCTGCACCAGACGAAACATGACTGAATTTTAATTACAGCCATTCAGAGGCATAGAATAGTCCACTTACTCCACTCCGATGAAATGGTATGGTTCAAAATCTATTTAATACACATTAACCCACTTTAACATCATTAAATGTAGATGCTGAATCATTCACATGTGTTTAGTTCTAAAGTTCAATTTCAAACACTTTATTTTCTTTTCAAGATCTGAGGTGAACTATCTGCTGTTGCTTTAATACATGTCATGTAAAAGGGCATTCAAACCCACAGTATTAGCATTTAACACTGTATAAAGCACATGAGGTGTACCTGAGGTGATCATTGTCAGTTTTCTGTTGTTCAGCTGCAAGAAATAAAAGCCATTTCTAAAATAAACATTTCAGGTGTTGGTATGAACAAAAACTCCTTTTTATATGGAAAATATTCATTTTATCATGTGCCATTGCTTTTGTTTAGGGCACGGTTTTAATCAGCCTTCAGCCTCGATAGACACTTCTGTTGATGTCGTCAATCTGGCAACCTGCGCTTATGTGTGTTTTGAACCAGGCATGTAGTACCTAGTTCAACCACTGGATGTCACATACTGCATCGTTAAGGACTTGTTAGGAACAAGGATTTAGTGGACTCAGACATGGTGCCAAATAGGGTTGTGCCGATCGACGATAGTATTTTAGATAATAGGCAAAGATATCGCCAAGAGCTGAAACATATGATGATTTTAAAGACAATATTTAGCTTGTTTCTCATTAATGTAGACTGCATTAATGTAGATTTTTAAGTGCATTATTGGGTAAAATGAATAGTATTGTTATTTTTAAACATTCATTCATTTTCGTGTCAGCTTAGGCTAAATTTGGTCTGTCAGCGAAAATCTAACAGACGTCTAAGAATAGGCCAAAACTAGACTAGTCATCAAATAAACATAAATGAATGACTACAAATATACAGTCTGTCTAATCTGTCTATTTGACTACTAGACTAGTTTTAGGCTATTCTTGGATGTCTATTAGATTTTCACTGATAGCCCAAGTTTAGCCTTGTTTTAGCCAAGCTGTCTACAAAATTATTTGCTGGGAGGCATCCAGGAGCAAGGTTAACAATCAAAATATAGATAATAAATGAAATATAAACAAAAAAAACTCTAAAGATACAGGATGTTTTTGTCTCTCAGTATATACTTAGTGGTTATCACAATAAATACCAGACAACACAGTGAAATATCATTAATTTCTCTCACATATTTTGAGTAATCTGCACTTTACATCTTCTCAATCTGAATCAGCTTTTACAGTATGGTATTTACTTCATGAAAGATTTGTTTTTCTAACTGTACATGTGTTGTTGTGCCTCCATCAGCGGAGCCCTATGAGATGTGTGAGTGGGTGGAGCCAGAGGCGGCGTCATACTTGCCCCCACCAGCCAAAAAGCCCCGCAAGAGCACAGTCACAGAGAAACCCAAGGTCAAAGAAATGATCGACGAGCGGACTCGAGGTGAGCAGACACTCTCACTCAACCCGGTTCACAGAGTTCAAGCCTGTAAACACACACACACACACACACATGCTAAATCAGGATTAGAGCACTCATCTGCTCAGCCGGCGCAGTGTAAACACTAGAGGGTGTGTCTGGAACTATGACGAGGCTTGTTTTTAATCTTGCCAGTTTAAAGAGATACGCTTTGAGATATGGCACATGCTCAAATTTTGTTGGCAAAGGCGTTCAAAATAGAACTTTTAAGATAATCCTAAAAGTTCTCATGTTTTAGAAGAGGAAAAGCTCAAAGGTATATTAAAGAAAAGGGCTGGTAAATCAGCATGCAGCTTTATTTACTAATCAAATGGAGAAAAAGTGGAGCAGGGTTGCACCATCTCCTTTGTTGGTTCAATAGAGAGGCAAAAGTTTAACTCCACTTGGAACTGTTTGGTAATTCATACAGTGGTGTGTATATTTCTTTAATCATGTTGTGTATTTATTGGATAAAATGCTTAAATGGTAAATGTAATGCTTGATATTAATAAAAAAAATTATCAATTTAATTTATATTATGCACTTAAATTTATATCATTCATACCAAGTATGGTCTGTTAAATGTGTATAATGATGATAATCATGATAATAATACATAATACATTTTAATATATTTATGTAAATATATATTCTTAACTGTAATATAGTATATGTATAATATTATTGTTATTACCTTAAATAATTATATTTATTCATTTTCTTTTCGGCTTAGTCCTTTTGTTAATCAGGAGTCACCACAACCGAATGAACCGCCTATATTCAGAATTACTTTAATCAATATTATTATTTATTGAATTATTTTTTTAAATGTAATTTATATGATTACAGAAATCATTCTAATATTTAATATCTAATCATAATTGAAATAAATATTATAAATAAACATATTTAAATGAATATTAAACAATATCTCAATATATATTTAGTTAAATATCAATACTAGTTATTAATATCTTTTTTTATTTACTGTGGAAACTGGCAAAGATTTTCTTAGGATCACTTAATAAATAAACAGCATTTTACAATAAAATAGAAATCATTTGTAACGGTTGCGTATGTATGCTATGCACACAGGGATAATTCCACATACAGCTTAATTATGAGAATGGTCAAATAGGCCGGGGTCAAATACCAGCATAAACATTATAGTAAGCAATTCAGAAGCATAATCAAAAAACAGGCGAGAGGTTAAGTGCAGGCAGCAAGGAATCAAAACACGATAAACAGTCCAAAGTCAAAAACACTGGAAACAAGGAGACCCCTCTTACATAAGGACAGCAACAGCTTAACAATACTCTGCAACATTTGTGTGGAACAGAGGGGTTTAAATAGTGGTCATGAGTATCAGCTATGAGTATCTAATTAGTCAGGATCTGGAACTAGTTGTTTATGTGTGTGTGTGCGTGTGTGTGGTCCATGGCTGGGTTTTGAAATCCATCATGAGGCAGGATTGTAGTTTGTGTGAGTGTGAATGTTTTCCAGCAATCTCTGGTGGTTAGATCGCTGCTGATCGTGACAGTAACATAATTATTGAAAAAAATTTGCACAAAAAGTAACTGAATGTTTATACTGAAGTGCGTATAAAGACATATGACAAAGATAAAGATAAAGATCTTAAAACCAATGGATTTATATTTTACACAGGGTTTTAACCAGCAGTACGAACTAGTTTGCCTTTAGATAATTGTTGATGTGGCAACTGAAATAATTGACTCTGAATTTTGCATTCATTTTTAATTGAGTTCAAGATTTTAAATAATTAAACCGCCTGTCATCAATTATTTCTGACATATTTAATATATTTATTATATCATATTTTACCAGGATTTGTTGGTGTGCTACAATGCTGAAAAAAATTCAATCTACAAAAAAAAGTCAATTTATTTTCAGTAATATTCTAGTTAATGTTTATACAGAGCTCGGCAAATATCAGGTTACTTGTAAAATCATGTACAAATTTGTTAACAGAATCTTTTATTTTATATTCCTCCACCCCCCTCCTAATTTTCTTATATGCTGTTTTTTATACTATACTATTTAGTATGACATTATATACTATTATAAAATGCATTATTTTTGTATTTTCACTCACTCACTTTTCTTTGACTTAATCCCTAATTTTTCAGGGGTTGCCACAGTGGAATGAACTGACAATTTATTTTTAATCTTAAAATGAGATACATTTTTAAATATTTTTTAAATGTGCCTTTGTCATTTTAGTAGAAACAAATTGGTTAAAATGTACAAGAAAACACAAATTTTACCACTAACAACAACGGCTCCAACAACCTCCCTAAACCTATATATTTTCCTAATATTGTCCCAAAATATGGACAAACTCTTCAGTGTTACATTCAGCAATGAAATTAACACCACACTGAACTGAACTTAACTGAACTTCAACTCTGAAATCTGCATTTTACTAGAACTTCTATGTTAAGGGGCTGACACAGTCTACATTGTGGAAGAGCTTTATAAATAAACTTGAATTGAATAGAATTGAATTGAATATCGCACCACTTCAATAAGTAGCATTATTTCACTTTATGAAATTCAGGCCAGCAAAATAATACTTAGTTTTGAATAATTAATAGTATGTTGTTGGATTAAACAGTATGTTGCAATGCTTTTTTTGTAATTGTATTTGTATTTATATTATAATGTAGTGTCATGGTGTCCCTGTTACTGGGAGTAGGATAATCTGAACTTCACATCAAGGACCACAATGGAAATAAAAAATAGTTTTAAAAACTGTATTGTGTAAATCTTTGACGTATTAAGTATATTCACTTATTTTTTTTGTCATATAAAAGAAAGAAAGAAATGAAAAATAATCGAAATAATCTAAATATAATCGAGACATAAACCACTGGAGTGTCCATTCAGCAATAATTTAAGTTGAAAATGCTCCAGATGCTCGAAAGACTGGAAAGTTTTCCATTATTGAACAGTTTTGTCTGTTGTTTTTCAGAGAGGCTTGTGTTCGATGTCCGTCAGAAATGTAGAAACATTGAAGGTATGTTTTCCGCATAGAGATGTGTTTTATTACTGTCTGTCAGTGTCAGAATATTCTCTAGTGAAATCTCTTTGTCTTTCCACGCTTCAGACATCTGCATCTCCTGCGGCAGCCTGTATGTTTCCCTGGAGCACCCGCTCTTCATTGGAGGAATGTGCCAGAGCTGTACGGTAAACGCCAGGAAATCCCTGCTTCCCACTTCCTTGAGGGCTGCTTTGTTTGCCTGCTTGTGATTTTATTATCTACATTATTGGCAGTGACTTTGACTTTGACTTTTAAGTCACACACACACACTGTTTGCTGTATCTGATCATTAGCACAGATTTAAAGATTTAATAGTAATAAATATCATTAAATGAGTGTTCAAAGGTAAAGAAAACTACTACGTTTAGTCAAGATTTAGGGATCAAAGCAACTGTCACCTAAATGCAATCTGTTATTTAGGAGTTAGAACAGTTGTGAGGTAATGTTGTTAGTGAGTAAAGTAGCTACACAAAGTTATGCTAATGCTAGTTTAAAGTATAATTATGTGAGTTAATGTTGTTAGTGAGCATAGTAGCTACACAGAGTTTTGCTAATGCTAGTTTAAAGCATTGTTAGGTAAGGTTTCATTTGTTAACTATATTATTTAATAAGCAATCAATGAAAATACTATGCTAATTTCAGCATTTACAAATTGATTATTAAAGGAACACTCCACTTTTTTTTTGGAAATGGTACAACTCCCCTAGTGTTAAACAATCAAATTTTACTATTTTTGAATCTATTTTGCTAAATTCCTGGCTGGTTTTAGCTGGTCAACCAGGCTGGTTTTAGAGGGGTTTTGGCCATTCCAGACTGGTTTCCAGCCATTTCCAGCCTGGTCTTAGCTGCTCAGACTGAGAGATGACCAGCTAAAACCATCTTGACCAGCCTAGCCAGGCTGGAAGCCCAGCTAAAATGTCCAGCTTAAACCAGACTCTTTAAGCTGGTTTTAGCTGGATTTAGCTGGTCATTTTCCAGCCTGTCTAGCTAAGACCAGGCTGGAAATGGCTGGTAACCAGCCTGGAAATGGCCAAAACCCCTCTAAAACCAGCCTGGTTGACCAGCTAAAACCAGCCAACCAGCCTATGTTGGTTTAAGCTGTTTTTTTTAGTAGGGCGGGAGCACTTTTAGCTTAGTTTAGCATAATCCATTGAACCAGATTAGACCATTTGCATCTCGTTCAATTGTTTTTAACATTTTGATAATTTTCCTGTCACTGTCACCTAGTTACCTAGCTAGGGACTATTTTCAGGTGTTGAGTAATATCATTGCACCTGCTGCAGCCATGGTACAGATGAGAGTATAGTTCCTAGACAGCTCTTCCATTGGTCTTAGTACACAATGTAACTACAGAAGAGTCAAACTTTAAAAAGGAAAGCTATTAAAACTTTATTTATTTTATTTATTATTTTTGAGCGACAGGCTAATGGTCTAATCCGATTTAATGATTTATGCTAAGCTAAGCTAAGCTAAAAGTGCTCCTGCAAGACATTGAGATGGCCTGAATGGATTCAAAAATGGTCAAACTCAACTGTATAACTCTATGTACTCAAAAAGGGTGTGTTCCTTTAAGATAAGCAGTTTTTTGGAAGTGATTTCATAAAGTACAATGTTTTGGAAGTTTTTTAAATATAAACTGCAAACTCCCAGAAAGAAGTCCTCTCATCAGTACATGCCGATATTCCAGCTTTCTTCTATTTGGCAATCCTCTATAAACAAATGAACTTTTTATGCGTTTGTCCTTTTATAGAACTGCTTTCTAGAATGTGCGTATCAATACGATGACGATGGCTACCAGTCCTACTGTACCATCTGCTGTGGAGGGAGGGAAGTGCTCATGTGCGGAAACAATAACTGTTGCAGGTAAAACTGAACTCTGATGCTCAGTTTTTCTATACTGTCCTTCAGTCCTTCACCTCTAAGTTGTCCTGCAGGTGTTTCTGTGTAGAGTGTGTGGATTTGTTGGTGGGTCCTGGTGCGGCGCAGGCAGCTATTAAAGAAGACCCATGGAATTGCTATATGTGTGGACTGAAGACTCAGTATGGCCTGTTGGAGCGCCGGGCTGATTGGCCTTGCAGACTGCAGCACTTCTTTGCCAACAATCACGACCAAGAATTTGTAAGTGACATATACTGTTTTATATCTTAATATTGGCAGTTTGAGCGAGCCCTGTCTTAAAATCAGCTCTGACTAATAGGGCTGCACAATATATCGTTTTTGCATCAATGACGCAATGTGTGCATTCACAATAATCACATCACAAGATATGCAATGTTGAGTCGGAATTATAGTTGACCAGGAGCTACAGAATTGTATTTACTTACTATATTTAAACGAAATTTAGATATGAGCTAAAAACCTTATTTAATATTTTTGTCTTGTTTTTAGTCCAAATATCTTCAATTCAAAGCAAAAACAAAGTTATTTTTCTTGCCCACTGACATAGTTTTGTTTGTTTTCAGGAAAAACTTAAAATAATAAAAAGTTGAAAACAAATAATATTTTTACTTATTTTTAGATATAAAAATAATTTTTAGATATTTGGACTAGAAACGAGACAAAACAGTCACAGAGAAAAGCATTTTTTGCCATTGTGGTAATTCAAAATCTGCACTTAAATACTGTTAGACTCCATAGAAAACCTTGACATAATGCTATTAAAATTATTTTATGAAAATATCCCATATCGCAATATTTATCACAGAAAAATAAAATATCACAATATCAGGTTTTCTAATATTGTGTAATCTAATTTCTAATACTATACCATTTATTATTAATAGACAAGCTCTGAAGCTCCCAGTGTCAGGCATTGGCTTTTTTGATCTGAAAGGAATTAGGCTGTGTCTTGGCTGGCTAACATCGGTAGAAATTCTGCTGCATTTAAAAAATGGGAAACTCGCCTAAACTTTGTGCTACTTGTTTGGATTTAGAGTAATATTCTGCGATCACAGAATCGCTAAATTCTGGATGGACTGCTCTCAACCGCTGCCTGTTTTTCAAGCTTTAAAAAGGAAAATGATCAAAACTCTTTTTAAAATTATTTTGAACGTAATGCTAATGGTCAAATTCGATTCAATTCATTGTGCTAAGCTAAGCTAAAAGTGTCCCAGTCGGAATAAGAAATCAACCGCATGGATTCTAAAAATGCTCTGGGAGACTTGTTAAACTTGCCTTTTTCAATAAAAGGTGGAGTGTTTTTGTAAAGACGGGTAAAATAACAGCGAAACTGGATTTGGTTACTCAAAATTAAAGTCAAAACATTAATATCATTCAATGTTATTGCGTCTTTGTGCTCATTCAGCGTTTCTAATTATCAATTTTAAAAACAGTTGTGCTGCTATTTTCGTAAACATTTTTAAATATCTTGAATATTAAAATGTAAATTATGTAATTATATAAAAGTATATATAATTGTAATCATATGCTTCCATCCGCATTTTTATGCACATTTATAGGATATCACATTTAAAAAATGCTGGATTGGAATGCTAAAGTGAACATGCATTAAAAATACACCTAAACAACATACAGTAACAAATATTAGCTCCCTTTGAATTTATTTATTTTTATTAAACATTTCTCAAACAGAGCAAGGAATTTTTTACAGTATGTTTAATAATATTTTTTCCCTTGGAAAAAGTCTTATTTGATTTATTTCAGCTACAATAAAAGCACTTTTTATTTTTTTAAACACCATTTTAGGGACAAAATTATTAGCCCCTTTACACTATATTTTTTTCCCGATAGTCTACAGAACAAACCATCATTAAAAAATTGTCTAATTACCCTAACCTGCCCAGTTAACCTAATTAACCTAGTTAAGCCTTTAAATCACAATTTGAGCTGTACAGAAGTGTCTTGAAACATATGTAGTAAATATCAGTTATTGTCATCATGACAAAGATAACATTTTATTAGAAATTGTTATTAGAAATCAGTTCTTAAAACTATTATGATTAGAAATGCGTAAAAAAAAATCTTCTCTCCAGTAAACAGAAATTGGGAAAAAAATAAACAGGTGGATAATAATTTAGAGGGGCTAATAATTCCACTTCAACTATATGTGCTAATTTGAGGCAGATGTTTTGTTATTATTTGTTAAAAGAATATGTGCATAAACTTATTCGAAAACACATTTGCAGGATACAGTTCTCAGTGTGCATTAAAGATCTTGTGATTTTGCCACAACAGGTGATAACTGGACTAAAAAGCACACTGATCACATAGTTTCATTGTTTGTTTTAATAATTCTAAAAAATAAGAACTGTCCCAGAACTGTCTAAGATGATGGTGTTCCCAAACATCCATCAGGGATCCTCCTCAAAAGTCAAAATAACATGACAGTAAATGCTATTGAGTTCTGTCTGCCACAATCTGATGAAAATGAGAAACAATTGTTTCCTTGAAGGAATATTCTTTTTTTATTGACATCCTCACACACTACAGTAGTTTGATTGTATTGTCTTGAACACATGGGACTGAAACAATCCTTTATTCTTGTTTATTAATTTTTGCAGTATTCAAATTTTCTGTTGAAGTAATATATTCAACTATAGATGGAATTTATTTACTTTTTTTTTTAAATTGCGTGTATTAATGCATTTATTCATTTATTTAGTTATTTTACTATTATTTGTTTGTTTAAAGGGTTAATACAACCAAACATTATCAAAAATTATCCTATGATCAACTCACCCTCAAGGCATGTTTGGGTACTTTAGTTTTTTCATTCAAATTCAATCAAAGGCATTTTAAAAATGATCTTGCCCTTTTCCAGTTGTACAATGCCAACGGTCAGCTGGTTTTTATCAGGACACTAAGAGAATAAAGCACATCTATTCATAAGAAATGGAGGCGGGTATGATGAATAAGTGTTTTCTTTAGTGAATCCATGCAGTTTTGTAATAAAAATATCCATATTTAAAATTATAAATATATTTTGTGTTACTTCCAATTACTGTACTCCAGTCTCCTAATTTCCAGGGCATTTTCAGTGCATTATTAGCACCATCTAATAAATAAGAGTGAGTGAAAATGTCCCAGTACAAACAAGGAAATGAAATGGGACCCTATCACACACCCGGCACAATAAGGCGCAAGATGTGTTTGACGCGATTTGATGCTATTTTCAGACCAGCGCAACCCTAATTCTCCCGTTTTGTGCCATGTTGTTTAAATAGCAAATCTATTTGCCTGACTTTGTGGACTCATGGGTGTGCTGGTCTAAAAAGGAAGTGTGTTAAGGCGCATTGTTGGTGTGATGCTATTTTAAAAAACTGAAGTAGACCACGCTATTGACCAACTGAAAGCTGGTCTAAAGTCCAGAGCAGAGGCGTTAGTTATGCACCTGTGCAGGTTCAAACACTTACACATTGCTTACATCATTTCCTAGTACAACACCATTTCCTTACCCCATGAAAGTAAAGAAGTAAAGTAAAGGATTAAAGTAAAAAGAACGTAATGAGGCAGAGTGGAGGAGACTCATTCTTTATCCTCACACTGCAGATGGTCTGTTTATCACTTATCTTGCTAGTGAAGCTTTCAGTTTTTCCACTTACAAAGTCTGTCATGTAAATAGCAAATGCGCCATGGCACAACGCAACTGAGTCTTAAAGGGAATGTGAGATGAGACTCTGATTGATTTAATGCACATTATACTCAAAACACACCCATAACTACTTAAGAGAATAAGCACTACCCTGTTACACCATGCATCAGGGCGCAAAGCATATTTTTCTGTCCATAAAATAGTGGATTCGAACATGCCCTTAATGCTTTTGTAAAATTGTACAAAAGCACGCACATCCCTCTTAACTGGGTGCTCAGCTAAAAAAACGCAAAAGGTGCAAATAAATATTCATCAAAGGCAGCAACCCAAGCTCCAAAAATAAAAATTCATTAAATTAAAAAAGTTTGGGCTGTTTGAGCCCAAAAAAAAAAAAAAAAACGCTTTTAAGCCATACACTTTAGACTTTGCGCCTAGGTCGTTACAATAGAGCAGGAGAAAAGTTGTTTATGAAAAAGTCTGGAAACCTCAAATTAACATTACACATTTTCTTTCTTATTTACATGCTATATTGTTACTATAAATATCACACTCCTCCTATAAATCGTTGTTTGAGCAGCTGTTGCAATTGTAATCAAGAACGGCGTGGTTTACAGTACAAACGCTGATGATTTGAGAGATTTATTATGCAATTATACGACTCCATTTGCTTTCCAGACCATGTGAAAGAGCGCCTTGGCTGACATCCATTTGCGCTTGAAGAGCAGCCAGAAAGTGTTACAGTTGCTGCGCATTGTGCTTTTGACTACACATCTCCACATCATAGAGTTTTAGCTTACACACTCCACTTTCTCGATGCAACAAAAGTACAGGTTAGCAAAGCATTTCCCATTGTTAGCGCTACTGAATGCTAAGATGTTTAACAAAGACCTCAGATAAGAAGGCACACTTAATCACGGGGAAAATGGCTAATGAAACAGCCTGGAGATACTGCGTTTATTGTACAGCCGCTCGACAATAAACCCTTGTTACTGGACTGGTTTAATGTAAAGGCTTCTTTGTTGGAAATGAACAGTATGTACAGACAGGTGCTCTTTTTAATAACAGAGCCGTGTGATTTAATGGCCTCTCTCTCTTGTCTTCTTGTCTGTCTCTCTTCCATCTTTTTTTCTTCTCTTTCAGGAACCACCAAGGCTCTACCCTCCGGTTTTGGCAGAGAACAGAAAACCCATTCGCGTCCTGTCACTTTTTGATGGGATCGCAACAGGTTAGCGAAGAGCGTCCGCCCTTCCTTTCATCCTCTCAGCAGAAAAAATAGTGCTGATCACATTACACTTGTCCTAGCTTTTAAAGTGCACTTAGCTGAACTGTTCACTCCCATCGATAGCATGTGTGATTTTTTACTACTGGGATTAACTGCAGTCGCAGGTTTGACCCTGTTTATGGGTCGTGTTTGTACTGTACTTAAAGCCTGATTATTTTGTGGCACGAGCATATTTAGCAGCCAAAGAGCGGTTTAACTGGTCGCTAAATGCTCAATTAAATCCATTTTTAAATCCATCATTAATGTGATTTCAAGATGACTGATGTTTTATTTTGATTTGATCACAACTGTAGACTCAGGTTGTATTTATTTTTCTGTAGTTAATTACATTTAAAAAAATGTATTACTTGACAGCATGATAAAAACACAAAAAAATGCCACTGCGTCCATATTTGGTCATGACTTGCATTTGTCATACAGCTAATGACTCTCACAGAGTTAAAATAAATATATAATAAACCTTTGTTTTCCTGGTATTCAAGGGCTGCTGGTTCTAAGGGAGCTGGGCATCCAGGTGGAGCGTTATGTGGCCTCAGAAGTGTGCGAGGACTCCATCACTGTAGGCATCGTCCGGCACCAGGGGCGCATTATGTATGTGGGTGACGTGAGACAACTCACCCGAAAAAACGTGAGTGTCATCTTTGTTGGAGTTAACCAACTTCTTTTTCTGCAAATGTGGCAGCCATCTTGGATCTTAAGGGCCATTTTCATTTTGTCTTTTTTTAGCTGCAGTTCATAACTTCTTTGTCCCAAACTGTTTTTTTTCTCTCTCACACGGAGAGCTGGAATAAATGTTGGATTGAAAGAGAACGAGTTCTAAGGAACTTTTCTTTTCATTTTGGATTTAAAGAACAATCTCCTGTTCTGAAATTTGAATGTTATGGCAGTTAGAGATTAGACCATACAGATATTGGAACCTGTACTGTTACACACTAAACTCAATAGAGTCATGCAACACAGATGTCGGTAAGGCTAGCAATTTCAGGACAAAGTATAACAAAATTAATCTGCAGTTTTCTGTGATAAAAGCTAGCAGCTTTAATCATGTAGTGAATTATATTTGTGGCAATCAAATTTTACGTAACCACCTCTGCATTCAGGACAGAGAGCTGTCCATCAAAATCTTACTAACCAATGAGGCTAGACCGCTGTTAAGCCCGTCCCCATGAGAGTTTTCTGCCAAAATGATGATTGAAAATTTGCAGTGTAAAGAAACCTGTTGAATTTCATTCATGATTGATGACTTTTGATGTACTTTTAAAAATCGTTAATAATAAACAAAGCAAATTAGGAGAACGTTACATTTGTCGACAAAATTCACAAGCAAATTTGATCCGTTTTCAGATTTTTTTTTTTTTTTTTTTTTTTGAATATTGTTGATGTTTTTTGGAAATGTTATATTTGTTTATATTAGGCTGTTTATTTTGATTGGCACAAATATAATTGTATACAGTGGTACATAGTTCAAGTTATTGTAATTGTTCAGTTGATATTCTCTAGTGATCATCTTTATTTGTGTCAAACTGTCAAGACTTAACATCTCAAAGTACAATATTCGCGCTGGTGCTTTGATTTACAGCTTAACATACAGACAGCCATATCACCCCCCAGCCCAATACTGGGTACTTTACTGAAGCTAAGCAGGGCTGAGCCTGGTCAGTACCTGGATGGGAGACCACATGGGGAAACTAGGTTGCTGTTGGAAGTAGTATTAGAGAGGCCAGCTGGGGGCGCTCAACCTGTGGTCTGTGTGAGTCCTAATGACCCAGTAAAAGTAAAGGGGACACTATACTGTCAGTGGTCGCCGTCTTTCGGATGAGATGTTAAACCGAGGTCCTGACTCTCTGTGGTCATTAAAAATCGCATGGCACTTCTCGTAAAGAGTAGGGGTGTTACCCTGGTGTCCTGGCCAAAGTCCCTCAATCGGCCTTTACCCATCATGGCCTCCCAATCATCGCCATCAACCGAATTGGCTTTAACACTGTCTCTTCACTCCACCTATAGTTGGTTTGTGGTGAGCACACTGTTGCCAGTGTCCTGTGGCTGCCATCGCATTATCTAAGTGGATGCTGCAAACTGGTGGTGGTGTGGAGAGACCCCCCCTCATGATAGTGAAGCGCTTTGGGTGTATGGCCATACAAAGTAAATATATAAATACACATTACATTACACAGCAAAATATTAGATTTATCCACTTGACCCCTGTAAAGAATATACAGTACTTCAGTAACTGCAAATATCTGTAATTGCACCTTTGAAACAGAGATGGCAACAAAGACACAAAATTCATGGATTGCAGGCATCGTTCACCCCAAAATTTCTGTCGTCAGTTTACTCCTTTACTTGATTCAAAACTTTATAAAAATATATATACTGTTGAACTGTTGAAGATATTTAGAAAAATGCTGAAAACTTGTAAAAAAAAAATAACTTCCATAGTATCTGGTTTTCAGCTGTAGAAAGTTTAACAGAAAAAAACTCATATATATTTAAACCACTTGAGGTTGAGTAAACTCTGAGTAAATTTTTATTTTTGGATTAACTATCCTTTTAAGAAAGTTGCTTGGGTTATATGTTTATTACAGTTTTGTATTGTCAATAGATTTCCACAAAAATAATTGTCATTTTGGGTTGAAATGATCTTTGTATCTATTTCTAATAAAATTTTTCCTGTTTGTATTATCTTGTCAAACTTGGCGACGTTTACACAGGCAACATGTACTCATGGGTCATGGCATTTCTGGAATATCATGGAGTTTTAAAAGGTTTATTTCAGTAATGGTTATCATTAAGGAAATTTTATTTATTTTTTTGACCAAGTCATGGAATATCAGGGGTTTTTGTTTGTCGCTTAATACTTAAAAGTTTCCATTTATCAGAAAGTAATTTTTCTGTACCATTTTTTGTTCACTTTGTTTAACGCTTAACTTTATGACTAGGCTACTTTTCAAGCTAAAACATTTGTAATGCTTTGTTATTGTTATTCTAATATTATCAATGTACAATCACAACAGCGACCTGTTTTTCCATTTTTTAGCTGTCATGGAAATTCACTATTAATCAGTGAATGTCAGGGAATTTGATATTTGGCTTAAAGTTTACACCTGTTCACACATCTTCAGACTGAAGACTTTATGTTGATTATTTGTGATCTTTTTCATCTGCAGATCCAGGAATGGGGTCCTTTTGATCTGGTCATCGGTGGAAGTCCATGCAACGATCTGTCCATAGTGAATCCAGCAAGAAAAGGTCTCTACGGTAGGAGTTTATATAGCTGTGTTCTAGGCTTAGTCAATTTACTAAGGCAGTATCAGTGGACACTCAAATTGCCTTTCTAATGTTTGAGATCAGCATGTTGTTTAAATAATCCTTTTAATTGAATTTATAAAAGATGCTGTGTTTATGAACTTCATTTATTTATTTTCTTTTCCACTTAATCTGGGGTCGCCACAGAGGAATGAACTGCCAACTTATCTAGCATATGTTTTACGCAGCAGATGCCCTTCCAGCTGCAACCCATCACTGGGAAACATCCATACACCCTCATTCACACTCATACACTACGGACAATTTACCTTAACTAATTCACCTGTACCACATGTCTTTGGACTTGTAGGGTAAACCGGAGCACCAGAAGGAAACCCATGTGAATACAAGGAGAACATGCAAACTCCACACAGAAATGCCAACTGACCCAGCCAAGGCTCAAACCTGTGAAGTGATTGTTCTACCCACTGCGCTGCCGTGCTGCCGTGCTGCCTTTATGTACAATATTTTTCTCTGTATTATGTATTTCTGCTAGAGTCAGGGTGGCTGGGTGGTCAGGGTGGTGACCATTTGGCATTTCTGTGTGGGGGTGCTTTGGTTTCCCCCACAGTCCAAAGACATGCACTATGGGTGAAGAGCGTGTATGGGTGTTTCCTGTACTGGGTTGTGGCTGGAAGGGCATCCACTGCATAAAACATATGCTAGAATAGTTGGCGGTTCATTCCATTGTGGTGACCATTGATGAATAAGGGACTAAGCCGAAGAAAAAAGAATGGATCCATGAATTAATGTATTTCTACCATATAAAATATTCAGGGGCAATGATCAATTTTATTATTATTATTTTTTTCATAGCTCAGATCAGATTGCTTGAAATAGCTATATTTTTATACATGAGACAAATATAGGCGGACTAATTAATAATATAGTTTAAATATTTTCACTAATTAGAACATTTAAAATTAAAGTTAGAGTGTTAAAACAGTTGACCCCTTGGTGCAAGATTGTAACAGCTACTTTTTTTGGCTACTTCTACCACTGGAAAATTATATTAACCTGCTGTACTGCATATAAATTAACCTGCATCGAAGTAATGGCTTTAATGCTGTTTTACTTATTAGACTGCTTTTTTATGTTGTATAATTATTTTTTTTTTGTTAGCCTTTATATCCTTAAAAAATATTTTTATTGATTGTTTTGTAGGATTTTAAGCAGCTATTGTAATCATAACAAGAGTTGAGTTATTTAAATTCATATTTTACTCAATACATTAATCAGCTGATGAGTCAAGAACCATGATTAACTACGCTTAAAATAGAGAAATTGCACGTAATAGACAATATTAACAGAATAATCCAATAAAATCACATAGATATTTAAAAACAAGATTTTATTATCGCTGTGCCAATGGTTTCCCCTAAAGAATTAGTAAAAAAAATTGTAATAACAGTAATAAATGCAAGATATAGATGGCAACAAAATGTTAGCAATCCTAAACATTTAAACACTAGTGTATATCTTACTTATATTTTATAACACAGCTCATATATATGTATTTATTTGACATTTGTCATATTGAGTTTCTATAATGTCTTGTTTTTTTGTCTTTTTCAGAGGGCACCGGTCGGCTCTTCTTCGAGTTTTATCGGCTGTTACACGAGGCCCGACCTAAAGAAGGAGATACCAGGCCGTTCTTCTGGCTCTTTGAGAATGTGGTGGCCATGGGCGTCAGCGACAAAAGGGACATCTCTCGCTTTTTAGAGGTTTACAGCGATTGATATCATTATTTTTGTTCTGGTTGAGATGAAATTGTACTTAATGACCTCACATAATGATCTCCTACAGTCAGTCCGGCATTGATATACTATAAACCAATAGATTTTGCTGCCACCTAGTGGTGTAATGAAGTGATGTGCAGGAAAAAAATAAGTCTTGTGTGTTTTTTATGTAAGTTTATTTTATATATATATATATACATATATACACACACACACACAAATCCAAGGGAAAATAGGCCAGTTAAACACATTGAATCTAAAACCAACCTAAAAATGTTAATAAAAAAATATCTAAATAAAAAAAACATTTATGAACTGTGTGCAGAATCACAATTTTGGAATATCTATTGCAGATAGACATCTGCAAAATTTAATTCTTTGAAAGTTTTATGAAAATGTTTATTGTTATCGAATTAATTGTAAAATAAAAATAAAACATTTGCATTCCTGATGCTATTTTTCTGTACAGCACAAAGTCCCAAACATAAGCAAAGTTCAATGTATTGTATGTATTAGACATGATGATATTCAATAGTATAATATATCGTAATCATCAATAATATTGTTATCTTGGACTCCTTGAAATACAATAATTAATAATTGATTTATTATTTAAATACAATTGTGTACATTTTAGCATGCATTTTAAAAATATTTAGACTGTTGTATTCAAGGGTGAGTTCATCATAGCACCAAAGGCATGAAGACTTAGTAGGTTATTTTTAAATATCAATATTTTCATAAGCCTGAAATTGAATTCTTTATACTGCTATTGCTATTAAACACTTTACAATTTACTTAAAAAACAATGTTATTAAGATATCGACTGTTAATTAGTACCTATAAAGTACATATTCTCCATGATCTTATTCTATGTCTCAAATCTTAAACTTATAACTATTACCTTCATAACTAACAATAAAACAAAATGTAGTTTATTGAGGCAAAAGTTATAGTTATGGTTTATTAATTGCAAGAAATTTTCTTACAATAAAGCATGAGCTTGAGTTTAAAACCAAAAAGTACTTGTAAAGTATTTATTATTTTTAGATAGTGTTGATTTCCTAGTTCATACTTAATGGCTTAATGAAATCTAAACCTTGTAACTGTTTCATTTAATGGAGGCTCATGTTATAACTTAAAAAGTGCTGTTGTATTCGTTTAAAATGAAAACAAATGCCATTAATGTAATAATGCATCTTCAACGCCTGTGTCACATAACCAGCGATCGCTCTCCAAAGATCGCTGGTTCCCACACGAACACTAAGGACTACACTTCCGCATTCCCCTGGACTACATATTCAAACATGCTCACCGGTCACACTCACACATGCTCACTCATCAAGATTGCATTCTCACCAGCTGAGCCTTGTCAGAGACTGATTACTCACCCTACATAAACCACTCATTCACCCATCCTGTTTGCCGAGTCTTGTTAGCTATACCAGTGACATTACAACGTGTTTCTCCCTGTCTTGTTTCTCCGTGTTAGACCCTAGCCTTTTATTCCTTGTTATCCTGTTTAGCCGCCTGCCTTACGACCCATTGCCTGTTTGTACGACTGCGATTCTGGACTGCCTGAATATACCCGTTTGCACCTGTTTGATCATTGCTTGCCTGACGCTGAATAAACCTGTATTGTGGATCTTACCTCCAGTTGTCTCAGTCCACCCCCCCCCCCCCTCGTCGTTACAGCCTGGAGCTATTTTAATGCAGTAACTATATACTAATTAACTAGTGAGACCTTAATGTAAAGTTGTACTTTATGATCCTTTTGCAATTAAATTTTTTTTTTTTTTTAAAGTAAACCTGTGATGTAATATTGTGAAAATATAATGTGTCATTCAAGAAAAAAAAAAAAAACACAAAAACTGATGCATCCATTATTTTATACAGTGCAACCCAGTGATGATTGATGCCAAGGAAGTGTCTGCAGCCCACAGAGCACGCTATTTTTGGGGGAACCTGCCTGGCATGAACAGGTTTGTCACTCTAAATCATACTCAGAACTAATTTCGTTATCTGTTCTCACTTTGGTATTCCAGTTCTGTGTTTTCTTCCTCTTTCAGACCAATGTCTGCCATGTGCACTGATAAACTGGATCTTCAAGACTGTTTGGAGCATGGCAGGACAGCTAAGGTACGTCTTATATTAGTTGATTTCAATGAAAGACTTTATGTGGCCGCACAAAACAGCAGCTTCTTTTCACATCTTTTGTAGTTTGGTAAAGTGCGGACCATCACTACTCGGTCGAATTCCATAAAGCAGGGGAAAGACCAGCATTTTCCTGTTTTCATGAATGATAAGGAGGACATCCTGTGGTGCACTGAGATGGAGAGGTACGACAAAATGAATTCATGATGCTTTAAGATTCACTATTAAAGGGATAGTTCACTAAAGAATGAAAATCTACTCACTATTTACTCTTTTTTTACTTGTTCAGCGCTAGTTTGAGTTTCTGTCTTCTGCTAAAAAGAAAATAAGAAGATAATCTGATGAAAGCCGAAAAACTATAACCATTGACCTCTATCGTAGGAAAAGCAAATACTATGGAAGTCAATGGTTACAGAATTTAGTTTTTTTTTCAAAAGATCTGCTTTTATGTTCAACAGATGAATGAAATTTAAATCGTACAATTTAAAGTGAAAGTGAGTAAATGAATGCAGAGTTTGGACTGCATGATTTTTAAAGTAGTCACATCACAGATGTTTTCACGCTGCATGACTATCTGTGGTAGAGTTTCGTTGCTGCTATGTTTACAATGCAAGAATCTGCGACAAGGGGGTTTCACACTGCATGACTTTACTACAGGAAGAATCGCAAACAACTTTGTCTCAGTCCACAAACTACGTCTGACAACAAAACACACATGAGAACTGACACGGAAACAATGTGAGGTCACATAGTATAAGCTATAACTACATAACGAGAAAAGCCTTTAGTGGGATAGAAAATGGACTTATTTTGCTCACCTGGGTTTTGAAGGGAATTAGCATTTTCTCTTTAACTTTTGTTCTTTTTCGACCATGTTATGATGTTGGTCAGATGACAAGTCAAACAGACACAGGTGCTCCCGCCAAATTTCCACTAGTTTTTCCTTCATTTCCTGGGTTCAAAACACTGAAAAGAAGCCCTTTAAACTTCTCCCCTAACCTCTTAATGGCCTGCAGATACCCATACTAGTGGATGCTGCTTTCTCATTGGCTGTAGGTAATATTCATTCATTCATTTTCTTTTCGGCTTATCCCTTTAATAGTCTGAGGTCGCCACAGCGGAATGAACCGCCAACTTATCCAGCATATGTTTTGCGCAGCGGATGCTCTTCCAGCTGCAACCCATCACTGTGAAACATTCATACGCACTCATTCACACACATACAGCATGGACAATTAAAAATGGACAATTCCAAACCCAAACAAACACTGGGAGAACATGCAAACTCCACACAGTAATGCCAGCTGACCCAGCCGACGCTCAAACCAGCAACCCTCTTGCTGTGAGGCAACATCGCTACCCACTGCGCCACCACACTCCCCCTTCTGGATAGTTTGAGTAAAGTTTATTTATAAACCAATTTCGAGGGGATCATTTGTTTATGATTGACCCCGGCTAGTCCCACATTAGCTATCTCATCATTTACCAGATCAGATGAATCCAAAACACACATAAATAACCAGATTTCATCTTCGTCTTGAAGAATCCCCCATCCACCCTGACTCCTCACCTTTTTTCCTAGCATAATTCAGGGTAAGGCAGCACAGTGGCTCAGTGGTTAGCACTGTTGCCTCACAGCAAGAAGGTCGCTGGTTCGAGTCCCTGCTGTTTCTGTGTGGAGTTTGCATGTTCGTGTGGGTTTCCTCCGAGTGCTCCGGTTTCTCCCACAGACCAAAGACATGCAGCATAGGTGAATTATACTAAATTGCAAATTAAATCAGTCGTAGTATATTAGTGCGAGAGTGTATGGGTGTTTCTTAGTATGGAGTTATGGATGGAGGGGCATCCAAGAGTATTCCACTGTGGCAACCCCTGATAAACAGAGGAAGGCAAAGGAATGAATGAATGAATTCGGGGAGCTCTCTAGACCTACCTGAGCTCAGACACCCCTCTCTCCCGATGAAACTGGAGAGAGCCCCGGGCTTAATCATTCTAACACGCTTATTTTATCAATTTAATCCATTGTTCTGGGTCATGTTTTTAAAATGGGAACATTTATTTTACAATAGTATTTTCAATGGAGTTTTAAGACTTGCCTGCTGCTCCTCATGGCGCTTGCGTTTGAACGCTCTTTCATCTTGTTTCACACTTGAACAACTAAATGATTTCTTAACTTTATTAAACTGAATATATTTTCTAATAAATTACATTACCAATGCTATGAAAGGGGGCGAAGCAGTGGTGCAGTAGGTAGTGCTGTTGCCTCACAGCAAGAAGTTCGCTGGGTTGCTGGTTCCAGCCTCGGCTCAGTTGCTGTTTCTGTGCGAAGTCTCCCTGCGTTCGCGTGGGTTTCCTCCAGTTGCTCCGGTTTTCCCCACAGTCCAAAGACATGCGGTAAAAGTGAATTGGGTAAGCTAAATTGTCTGTAGTGTATAAGTTTGTGTGTCAATAGCTGCTTTTCCACTATCGTGCCGAACTATTCTAAGAACACTTCGGTACGGTTACGGTTGTTTCTCCACTGAGCCTGGAATGGAGCAGCACGATTACAAACCGTTCTCGGCCCGGAATTCTCAGCTAGGTTAGACAACCGTGCTGACCTGTGCCTACAGATTCTGTGTGTTGACGTCGCGGCTCTGTTGCTAAGCTACCACAGCTGGCTCAGCAGAAGCGATCTAGTCATCGGACATCCTCAATAAACTACAGTACATTTAATATAAAATAATGATCCAGGTCTAAACGATAAATTTTGAAAAGGGTTTTAAATATTTTTTATGTGTGTGTGGATGTTTTACAGAGATGGGTTGCAGCTGGAAGGGCATCCGCTGCGTAAAAACTTGCTGGATAAGTTGGCGGTTCATTCTGCTGTGGCGACCCCGGATTAATAAAGGGACTAAGCTGATAAGCTGAAAAGAAAATGAATGAATGAATGAATGAATGAATGAATTAATGCTATTAAAGGAACCTAATGAAATAAAAAAAATAGGCACATCATTGTTTCAGATGTTGCATCAAACCAAACCGAAACCAATGGTCTGCGTTGAACATTTGAACTAAATTGAAACCTGTCTCTCTTATTCCTCAGGGTGTTCGGCTTTCCTGTCCATTACACAGACGTGTCGAACATGAGTCGTCTGGCCAGGCAGAGGCTGCTGGGACGGTCGTGGAGCGTCCCGGTCATCCGTCACTTGTTTGCACCACTCAAAGAGTACTTCGCCTGCGTCGGAACTTAAACTCAGCACAGATGAGAAAAAATCGAAATATGATTTAACACCAAGAGCATCAAAACCAAGCTCTTATCTGTTATTTGCAACATCTAAAACGGTATTTCATGTTGGGTTTCTATTTTCATCATTCTGTTTTGGAATAATTGACTCTTTTTTTTTTTTTTTTTTAATTCTATTTAATTTTTAAAATAATTATTCTTTGACTTTTTAGCAGTGTTATCCGGTATTTGGTTTATGTGTGAAAGCTATACTTGAGACATGGCCTCCTTTTAAAGGCACTGAAAGATGACGTAACACTTCAAAGCAGAAGCGAGGAATTTAAGAGCATTTCTCCCAAACATTTTTTGTTTTATCGACTGTAGGGTCGCAAGATCCATCTCATTCTACAACGGTGCACGTATTTCCTCTCCTCCAAGCATTTGAGCCTCGGAGAGAGCAGGACTTTTTTTATTTTTCCTCTTCAGTGTCAGGAGAGCTCTGTCTTAACCAATCCAAAACACCAGTTCACAAATACCTCTTTGTTTACAGTTTCTATATTCAACTGAAGGTAAAAAAAAGGTACTACTGTAATAGGTGACAACATGGTGCTTCAAGGTGGTGAAAAACATTGCAACTCATGTGGTGCTACTACTCGAAAAAAAAAACTGATCACGAGGGTCAAGTTTTGTATTGTTGTCAGGTTAAACGAATGACTGAAACCTTGAGAAAAAGAGAAAAAGAAACAAATAAATGACAAAAAAAAAAAATATTACAGGTCAAGCCAGGTCTGCCACATCTCATTTTATATATCTTTTACAGTCTTTTTGTACAATATTCTCTGGTGCTCTTTTCAAAAAGAAAAAAAAAAAAACAACGACACCTCAGCCTTTCAATCCTTGAGGTCTGCTTCCTTCAGTATGCCTGCAAACCAGCCACATGGGCGGTGATGTTTTTTGTCATCCATACCTTGAAATCAAAGGCTGTGGGGTGCTACTTTTTTTCTAGTGTCGCCCAGGCTCGAATCATTACTGTACAACTTTTAGCATACGCGACGGGTACTGAACGAACGCCGATGGTCTACTATCGGCCAAGTGAATTGGCGTTCGCCTGAGCCGTCCGTAAGCTATTCTCAGTCAGGTGCAAAATTTCAAAGGTGCGGCTTCACAATGTTCTTCTACCTTTTTAAAGCAATTTTTTGTGCTGCGTTACCAACAATATCGAGCACTTTTGTATATGTATACTTCTTTATTTCAGTTTTTTTTTTTTGTTGTTGTTGAAATCCTTTTTTCCTTGATTATCGTGAATCGTTCTCTTTTGTTTCTTGTTTTTGATTATGTTATATTGATGTGAAACCATTATATAAGGTAATACTTTGTTGTGTACAGTAGGGCTGTGCCAATAGATGTGAACGAATGAGCTAGGATAGGAAAAAAATCCATCTGTCGTGCTGGTGGTGAAGGGGCCGAATTTCGAATAGCTCCCCTCTCATGTTTCCATGTGCTACAGAGTCGCTTTATCATAAGTCACGTCGCGAAATAGTGTCTGCTCACCGCTATATAATCCCAAAGTGAGTGTGTTTGTTCAATATCCCTGTAGGAAAAGTAGTCGTATGGGGTGTCAGTGGGACATCGCTTACTGCGTCTGGTCCCTATAGCAGCGTAGATCTAAAAACATTATTATGTTTGCCAATGGTGGATGTTGACCATGTCAATAATTTAGTTATCACGCAAGCTTATATAGGCTAAATTTGTGAATTTGATGATTAGAAACAGGCTCTATAATGAAATCCTCTTTTGTTTATTTAAGGCATTGCACTGCTTACATACCTTAACATTTGTCATGTTTTCCAAATTTTATATTCATGCCCAGATTTGTTTCTTTTTGTACATTTTGTACATAGAAATTGTCTGTTGCTTTTTTTTAATGACCTATGAGATGTACAAATATAATTCTTTGCTAATATATATCATTGAATCAAAACAAAAAGAGGGGGGGTAATTGACAGAATGGCAACAGGCTAATTGACGAGCTATAAAGCAGCGCATGTGTTTTGTAATTCGTATTTATATGTGGGATAAAACTAAAGCCAGCAGACACACAACGTCATAAGACGTTAACATTAGGTTAGATTTAGGTTGCCAGCATTTAAGGACAACGTTATTTTGATGTCCAACAATGACGTGAAATGACGTTGATATTTGGTTGATTTAGGGTTGTGTTGGAAAGTGACCAAAACCTTATATCTAGCCAGCGTCTAGGGAAAACAATATTTTGACGTCCAATAACGACGTCAAACGATGTTGATATTTGGTTGATTTTAGGTTGTGTTGGAAAGTGACCAAAATCTAATGTCCAGCCAGCATCTAAGGACAACGTTGTTTTGATGTTCAATAACGATGTCAAATGACGTTGATATTTGGTTGATTTTAGGTTGTGTTGGAAAGTGACCAAAATCTATTGTTCAGCCTGCATCTAAGGACAACAATATTTTGACGTCCAATAATGACGTCAAATGACATTGATATTTGGTTGATTTTAGGTTGTGTTGGATAGTGACCAAGATCTTATGTCTAGCCAGCATCTAAAGACAACGTTGTTTTGATGTTCAATAACGATGTCAAATGACGTTGATATTTGGTTGATTTTAGGTTGCGTTGTAAAGTGACCAAAATCCAATGTCTAAACAGCGTCTAAGGACAACGTTATTTTGATGTCAATTGATGTTGATAATTGGTTGATATTAGGTTGTGTTGGAAGGTGATCAAAATCCAATGTCGAGCCAACATCTTAATTCATATTGACGTTAAACACTAACATTTATTTGTTAGGTATTGCAACCAAAATCCAACGTCTGATAGTCGTCATTGTGGTAACGTCCACACGTCAAGCTGTAACGTCATTAGATGTTGATATTTTGTTGCCTTTAGGTTGGACGTTGGACATTGACGTCGGTCTGACATTGGGTTCTGACTTCAACCCAATTTTCATTTCCAAACAAAATACGTCATCTCTTTTTGGTACAACGTCAATCTGACATCATGTTGACATCTTGTGCCTGCTGGGAAAGGATGAGTTCTCTAAGTGATTTTAACAGTCCCATCTTTACTGCACAGCCCTACATACAAAAGCGTGTTTCAATTTGCTTTTTTGATTCTTTTAAAGAGAGGGATTGTAGGTGTTTTCCTAAGGTGCTAAACATTTTATCTAATTGAGAAAAAGTATATTATTTGGAAAAGAAATAAACTTGTCTTGATAATGATAATTTTTTTTCTCTTTCGTTTGTTTCTTGTAGTATTGGAGAAGCACTATTATTTACTCTCTCGTATAAAGATATTAACAAAGGCATTTTAAATTTGTACTTGAAAAAAATAATGACAAATGATGAAAGATTCTTATATTGTTTTAGAATAGACATTGCTGTAGTTGGTGCTTATCTGTGGGAAATCATGTACTCATAATGGGAAAAAATGAAATAAAAAACTTGTAATAAATTTTGCTGTTAACATGTACTTGCTTAATATCCAGGCAGAATTGCTTCAAAGTCCTACATTCCATGCCATGTATTCAGCCCTCCATTCTCTTTTGTTTCATAGTTTTTTACAATTTGATTTCCTCTCTTCTTTTTATGTTCAGTTTAATTTGCTTTGTTTGAGTTTATATATATATGAATATATTTGGCTGTAACAGCCTCTTGTTTTCTCTCCTGACAGGTTTTCTGTATATCTCAGTGACACTATTGATATTTGTGACCTTTGTTGTATCATACAAACCATTTTTCAGGCCTTCTATTCTTTTGCAATCTGCTCATACAGCAAATGTAGCAATCATCCGCCACCTCTCCCCCTTTTATGTACCCAGAACGAAGAAAAAATGGCTCCTTATGTACTTGTGCTGGAGAACACTTGAATAAATGTATTGTTTTTTTGTGAGAAATGTATAGTTGTTTGTTTCATTTACAGGTATTTAGTATACATGCCCCTGATTGTGATACATATATACGTATAAACTCACATAACAATTCATACTTGCTGTCAGATCTAATTCGATGAGAAGTCTTTCTACCATGCAATCTCATCAGTATTGCCAAGAGAACCATACCATTCCTCGTAGACTAGAGATTTCCAACTAGACATTTCTGATGATGAGTTATTTTGGTGAGAACGTAGTTGTTTAGTATACTAATAAGCTGTTTATTCGTGATAATATTGCCTATTAAAAAATGATCTTGTCACTTTTAGAAATGTAGGGGCATCAGTGAAAGCTCAGCGCTGATGATCACCGATGACAGCAGCCTTAACTAAGTGGCTCAGACAGTACTTTTGGAATCTACTGCTGACTCTGAAGTGAGTCTATGCAGTATTTACAGATCCTGTATATATTGAAGAGGTTGAAGCAGGTATTACAATCCAAATTCTAATTATTGGATAAGGTGTTATCTGGCCCCTCCTCCTATTTCATGCTCACAGTGGTTGCCAGATTGACAATTGACGATCAAGAATATCAAGCTGTGAATTAAGGCTCCATATCAGCACTTCTGTAAATAGCTGTAGCTAGTGCCAATGGTCAACTCAAAGCTGTTTTAATATAAATCCATATCACACGGTTACGAGTGGGATTTTGCTCAGAAATACACCACCAGCGGGGAAAAAAAAGAAAGAAAAGGATACATTAACATTTGTTCATTTTCCAAGTCGTTTTTGCTTACCAAGGGTGCAAAGTATTTTGAATTATGTCTTGCAACAGAATACATGTCTTTATTGTCACTTTTAATCTATTTATTGTCTTCTTGTCTAATATAATAATTATAATATAGTTAATATAAAATGATCAATAAGTTTTTTTTATACATTTTATTTATTTATTTTTCATTTAAATTTTATAAAATGCATTAATTTTCATTAAATAAAAGTAGGCAAGCTATAAAGAAAGAACATATATTCTTCACAGTTGCCACATCGACTTAATGATCCAGTTCAATCCCCTGTGAAACTGCATAAATGGTACGTACCGCTGACGACAAGACACGCCCATACTGCAACGCCATTGGCTGCTGCTGAGGCCATCGCCGTGTATCTCATCAGTGATTGGTCAACGCCCGGCTCTCACAGTCTGGATGCTGCTGCAAGCGTGAGGTTTACCGGGCTGGACCAACCGAAGCATCTGCCTGCCGGTCTAACAGGCTTTTATTGTTCAAGAGCGCTCAAAGTGAAGGAAAACCTCTTTTAAAGGATATCACAAAGGAAGTAAGTGCACTATGCCTCGCTTTTTTAACATTCATTTGTCAGCTGTTGTAAGAAACTCCTCACTGACTAGCGCAGGCACATTGCTTGTCTCGGGATCGTGTAACGTAAATTTTGTAGTATGGAAAGAATCTCTCAGTCAAGGGACTCGTGTTTTACCTTATATCTTTCATAATGGAAGCTGTATATTGTTTCAACATCGATTAAATGATGTTTAATAATCTAGTGGACGTCGTATGTCCATAAACAGCGCGACCCATCAGGCAATAAACACGATTAAACGCGAGCGCGCACTCGACATCTGATATTTCCCTTATGAAGTCGTTGTATTGTTATTGAACAACCTGCTAAATTAACGATTGTTGCCATTTCGTGGTGTCTTGAGACATGTTGAGTGTGTTGTGTAGCGCATGGGCTTGGTCGCCCCTTTGTGTGACACCCTCGATATGGTCAAAATAGGATGAGTCTACATCATCACCACCATCTTCATCATCATCTTCATCTTCAGCCTTTTAATGAATGCGTTCTACATAGCTGAAGATATTACTGATGCAGTGCATTGCATGGATGTGCATGTGCACGTTCAATACCGCATGTTTACATTCACATGGTTGCATGATCCTCTGAGATATACATCAATAACGTTATTTCTAGTGATTTTCATATTGCATCGGTTGGAATGAAAAAAAAAATGCAATGTATTAAAAAATCAATAGTAATTCATATGTTTTTTTTCTATTATTATCAATGCCATATGTAATATTTATCAAAACCCTATATATATATATATATATATATATATATATATATATATATATATAATTTATTGCATATTTTTGTCTCTTATGCAATGGTTCGGATTGCACTTAATGCCCTATCTGGACCATTTGATTGAATGGGAGTAGCTTCACCAAGAAAGATTACAAGTTTCCATCTACATTAAGTTACACTACCCAGATGAGTGCCATCTGGATCTCGTGGAATATGGCATGGTTCAAAAGTGGGTCATTCCAGAGGAAGGCCTTCATGAGTCATGGCAAGGAACAAATGCTCCAATCATTTTTCTTCGGGCTGTGTTGTGAGGACAGGACAGATGAAGATCATGCACCGTACTGTTTCTTTTTATAGTAGGATGTCTAAGGACACACCCTTATATTCTCCTGCTCCATAGTAGCCCCTCCTTGCATGCACAGACACACACAATTCACCATCAGGGGCTCAAATCAGAGGGTGGGGGAACCCTGGGCAGCGCCATACTGTGAATATGCCGCACCCACCTGCCCCCGACTCACTCTTTGCAGCATAGACTCGCATGCACGCTTTCACTTGGGATTAGATCATAAGGAAGTGCAGTGCTGCAGGGAATGTGTAGCAACAGCTGCTAGCCTACATATATTTCCTGCTAGCAATTGCACATCCCTGCGCATTTTCAACGCTGGAAAATCTGGGTCAGAATTAATTTCTGCTCATTTAACTTGACTTACAGTACACTCGCTCTGTGTGTTGCGGCTTTGTTGCTTCAACATTTCTGAAAATGTGTCATGAATAATTAACATATACATGTAATTATCATGTTAAAAGCTGGAGTCGATAATGTGACTACTTATGCCAAGCTGGTGATAATCACACATGTTGGTGTAAGCTTACCACTTAAGTGAGGCTCTGGAATGGTGGAATGGATTGTAACCACTTTAAACTAATGTTGTGGAACATTTGAGCTGTGATACAGTATGAATGATTGATCCTGTTTGCATGTCAAGTAAGGATACGGTTGGATTCCATAGCCGAATGTGGGAAAATTGATTCATGCAAGTTCTCTGTTGAGATGCCTGATGTCATTCTGAAAGTATGGGGTGCATGTTATTATTGTAAATATGCGTTCATACTTTTCATGGTAATTGGTGATAAACATGGAAATATCAAGTCAAAATATTAAGTCAAGTTTTTAGTTTTCTTTATGGACTTAAAATATAAGGAAAAAGGTTTGGGGTTGGTTTAAAAAAATAATTATTTAAAAAATTGGGGCAACGGAGTGGTGCAATAGGTAGTGATGTTGCCTCACAGCAAGAAGGTTGCTGGTTCGAGCCTCGGCTGGGTCAGTTGGTGTTTCTGTGTGGAGTTTGCATGTTCTCCCTGCGTTCGCGTGGGTTTTATCCTGGTGCTCCTTTTTCCTTTACAGTCCAAAGACATGCAGTACAGGTGAATTTGGTAGGCTAAATTGTACATAGTGTATGAGTGTGAGTTAGTGTGTATGGATGATTCCCAGAGATGGATTGCAGCTGGAAGGGCATCCGTTGCGTAAAACATATGCTGGATAAGTTGGTGGTTCATTCCGCTGTGGTGACCCCAGATTAATAAAGGGACTAAGCTGACAAGAAAATGAATGAATGAATGAATCATTAAAAATTATTTATTTATTTATTTATTTATTTATTTATTTATTCATTCATTCATTCATTCATTCATTCATTCATTCATTCATTCATTTATTTATTTATTAATTTGTTTGTTTGTTTGTTTGTTTATTTACCAAGATCAACATTTATTTGACAAGAAAATATAGTGAAAACCACAATACTGTGAAATGTTATTTAAATGTAAAATAACTGTTGCGATGGAAACGTTGAATTTCCAGCAACCAATAAATAGTGGGGTGGTGGAGTACTGAAACCTTTTTTTATGAAGGGCTAAAAACCAAAGTTGATTGAGAGCTGCGAGCCGAAAATAAATATATCAAACTGTATTACATTAAATTTGGCAATGGGTAATTTCCTAATTTATTTTCCTGGTATTAATATTAATGACCGTTTAAAAGATAATATACAGTTGAAGTCAGAATTATTAGCCCCCCTAGAATTATTTTTTCTTTTTTAAATATTTCCCAAATGATGTTTAACAGAGCAAGGACATTTTCACAGTATGTTTGATAATATTTTTTTTCTTCTTGAGAAAGTCTTTTTTGTTTTATTTCGGCTAGAATAAAACCATTTTTTAATTTTTTAAACCATTTTAAGGACAAAATTATTATTAGCCCCTTTAAGCTAATTTTTTTCCTGACTATCTACAGAACAAACCATCGTCATACAATAACTTGCCTAATTACCCTAACCTGCCTAGTTAACCTAATTAACCTAGTTAAGCCTTTAAATGTCTCTTTAAGCTGTATTTAATTGTCTTGAAAAATATCTAGTCAAATATTATTTACTGTCATCATGGAAAAGATAAAATAAATCAGTTATAAGAAATGAGTTATTAAAACTATTATGTCTAGAAATGTGTTGAAACAAATCTGCTCTCCGTTAAACAGAAAATGGGGAAAAAATAAACAGGGAGTCTAATAATTCAGGGGGGCTAATAATTCTGACTTCAACTGTATATATATATGAATTTATTATAGTAAAAAAAAAAACGATCCCACTTATTACACAATGGAGTTCAATGCCAAGTTGATTTGCTCACTATATTATGTGCATTGTAGACATAGGTGGGTATAAGATTCTTACTGTCCCATTCTGTATGATAACCTTGGATAAAAATATCACGGTTTGACGGTATTGTGATTACTGCTCTAAAATATATTCTTTTAAATGTTTGGGTAAAAAAACATAAACTTTTCCACCTTTGAACACAATACAGTATGTTTTATTTTGAGAAACATTTAAAATATTTTGGAACAGTAAACATGTCAGGCTA